TTGTTGTTGTTGTTGTTGTTGTTGTTGTTGTTGTTGTTGTTGCTGTTGCTGTTGCTGTTGCTGTTGCTGTTGCTGTTGCTGTTGCTGTGTGTTGCTGTTTGTTGCTGTTTGTTGCTGTTTGTTGGTGTTGGTTGCTCTTGGTTGTTGTTGGCTGTTGTTTTGTTGGTTGTGGTTGGTTTTGTTGGTTCGTTGGTTCGTTGGTTCGTTGGTTTGTTGGTTTGTTCGTTTGTTGGTTTTGGTTGGTTGGTTGGTTGGTTGGTTGGTTGGTTGGTTGATTAATTGGTTGGTTGGTTGGTTGGCTGGCTGGCTGGCTGGCTGGCTGGCTGGCTGGCTGGCTGGCTTGGTCGGTTTGGTCGGTTTGGTCGGTTTGGTTGATTTGGTCGGTCGGTCGGTCGGTTGGTCGTTGTTGTTGAGTTGTTGTTGCTTGATATGTTCTTGCGCAGGGGTTTAGATGTGTTCTCTGTGTGTTGTTGATTTACGTTTATCTGTGTGGACAATGCAACGAAGTTGGATTTGTGTCCACACCCATTTGTTTTGCTTAAACCCAACAAAACGGGGGTTCCCGAAAGCACAACTTGCTGGAATGGATTCTAAAACCCATCCCTTGTGGCTTCATCAGAGGGTATCCCTAGTAGTTTGGACCCTTTGGTGGACATCAGATATGTAACAGTTGGAGTTATGTCCAGTATAACTATGTCAATGTCGTCTTTTGGACCTTTTGAAACTGCTCTCTTGTGACACATGAACCCAGAATAGCTTCGAACCAAAGATCTGTCTGTTGTCGGCCAAGTCGAAAGTGGAATTGAGTACATTTGGGCGTCTCGCACCGGGCCACCCCTACAGGAAGTCTTTGCGGGCCCTCCTTGGTACACATGCGTTGCTTTGTACCAAGGGAAGCGATTGGAAATGTATAACAGGACTCCATCCTCCCAAAGAAGCTCCTTTTCTCCGATTCTGGACCAACCCCACTCCCAGTGCCATTTCCCACAACCATGACCCCGCAATAAACGATAAACAGGGGGAAGACCCTTGAAATCAGAACAAAGCCGTGCTCAAAAATTGTCCCCACACACACACCCTCACCCCCCCCCCCCCCACCCCCTTTTTCCTGCTCCAACAAGGCTGCTCACAAGGACACTGATCAATTGAGGCTTCCCATCCCCAACAAGTCTTCAATGAAACCGGATGCAACCCTGCGAATGCTGGGATAAACCGCCCACCGGGCATGCAGCATCATGAAACCCAGGGTCCTTGAGGCAGAGGCCGGACACCTTCAGCGAGGAGTTGCCCTCCAGACTGCACAACCGCCCCCCCGGCGCCCAGGCCACTTTCCCGTCGTTCACCAAGGTGACCTGCGCCAAGACTCTCAGCGCCTCCTTGCCGTAGAGGCCCCTGCGGCGAGTGGGCCCCCACTCCCCCCCACTCCCCCCACTCCCCCCACTCCCCCGACTCCTCCTTTCCTCCAAAGGATGCATATTAGGACGAAACTATCCCTTAAGCTTCTCATGTGAGTCCTCTTGATTGCTCATCGCGCCTCAGAAAGTGCGGCCGCAGCCTCCCCAGGCGCAGCGCCCCAGAGAAGCCCTGCGCCAGAGCGTCTCCGTCCGCAAGCGCGTCCCGCGGCACGCCGGGGAGGGCGCGCCACCACCCGTTTTGCCGTGCACCGTCCAGAAACCTGGGCGCACAATGGAAAGCCTGTACTGGAAACTCCCCTGAGGTTGTTTGGGCTGGACCCCTCTGCAAAATTGGACCCCTGGGAAACCAAAAAGAGATTGTGTAAATGGTTGGTGGTTTGAGTCTTGGAAACAAGGGATTAAAATGATCAATTGGAGGGCCAAAATCCTGGTCCCTGAAAGCGGTTGAGTTCGGAGTTCTCAAAACTACTTTTGCGCGTGCAAAACCAATTGAAGGCACCATTTAATTTAGAGCAGGTGTAAAAACACTTGAAGGCACCATTAGGAGTGTAATTTTGAGGATGTTACTTTACAGTCAGTATTGCCAATACTAAATGTTGTTCTATCAATAGTTCATCTTAGGTTCCCACTACTAAACTCAGTATTGCACACAATACTTAATCTTAGGTTCAAATACTTCCCCCACATTCTAATTGCGGCAAAAAAATGGAGGGGTTATATACATTTGATTGCAGTTAGAATCTGGATGGCTCAAATTGTGTTGCAGTTAGAATATAATTTGGATTCTTCATTACAGTTAGAATATGCCCCTGGGTTTACACAAGTCCATGTTCTAACTGCAATTGATGTGAAAAAAAAAAACTATCTGCCAGTCCGGCGCAGCAATGGCCCCGTAGCCTCTACGTCCCATTGCGGGAAAGAAATGCGTCAAACCGACAATTCCAACCCGAAAAACAGGTCCAGCCGCGGCGCGTCAGCGGCTCGTAGACATCCCTCGGCCAAGCCGCCGGGGACTTCCACATGCCGCTGAGCTCCGCTAGAAATGCGGACACCTTGCTTTGACGGCAGGGAGGCATGGCGTTGGTTTCCCTTCAAACGGCATAAACGGGGTCCCGTGTTTATGCCAGACCCACCCCACAAATCTGGGTCCCACCTTTTTGCTCATGGAATCGATTGAAAACCCGGCTTTGCCTGGCAGTTACCTCCTTTAGTCGGGGCTGAAATGATACAGTACTCCCAAAACTAGACGACGAGTGGCCCGGAAGCATAGAGGCAAGTTGATGCAGGTGAGGTAACTCTCGCAAAGTTAGCATGAGGAGTTGGCAGGCGAAGCAATTCTCAAAAAGTTGGCATGAGAAGCTGGCAGGTTAAGTAACTCTCGAATAGTTGGCTGGCAAAGTTGGCGGGTGAAGTAATTCTCGCAAAGTTGACATGAGAAGTTGGCAGGCGAAGTAACTCAAGAGAAAAGTTGGCATGAGAAGTTGGCAGGTGAAATAACTCTCAAAGAGTTGGCATGAGAAGTTGGCAGGTGAAGTAACTCTCGAAAAGTTGGCGTGAGAAGCTGGCAGGTGAAGTAATTCTCGAAAAGTTGGCACGAGAAGATGGCGCGTGAAGTAACTCTCGAAAAGTTGGCGTGAGAAGCCGGCAGGTGAAGTAACTTTCGAAAAGTTAGCATGAGAAGTTGGCAGGCGAAGTAATTCTCGAAAAGTTGGCGCGAGAAGTTGGCAGGCGAAGTAACTCTCGAAAAGTTGGCAGGCGATGTTGGCAGGTGAAGTACCTCTCGAAAAGTTGGCATGAGAAGCTGGCAGGTGAAGTAATTTTGCGAAAAGTTGCCACGAGAGGTTGGCAGATAAAGTATTTCTCGAAAAGTTGGCATGAGAAGTTGGCAGGTGAAGTAATTCTCGAAAAGTTGGCAGGTGAAGTTGCCACGAGAGGTTGGCAGGTAAAGTATTTCTCGAAAAGTTGGCATGAGAAGTTGGCAGGTAAAGTAATTCTCGAAAAGTTGGCATGAGAAGCTCGCAGGTGTAGTAACTCTCGAAAAGTTGGCATGATAAGCTCGCAGGTGAAGTAACTCCTCGAAAAGTTGGCACGAGAAGTTGGCAGGTGAAGTAACTCTCGAAAAGGTGGCATGAGAAGCTGGCAGGTGAAGTAATTCTCGAAGTTTCGGCATGAGAAACTGGCAGGTGAAGTAATTAACCCTCAAAAAGCTGGAGCGGCGGAGGCGCTCCGCGTGCTACATTTGCAATTTACAGTTGCGATTTTCCAGCCATTTGTATCTAAAAGTTGCGATTTTCCAGCCGGAGCTGCGGGAGCACGCTCCGCGTACTACGTCTGTACTTAAAAAGTGCGATTTTCCAGCCGGAGCTGCAGCAGCCTCCGCGTACTACGTCTGTACTTAAAAGTTGCGATTTTCCAGCCGGAGCTGCAGGAGCACGCTCCGCGTACTACGTTTGTACTTAAAAGCTGCGATTTTCAAGCCGGAGCTGCCGCGGACCAGGGGGGAATCGAACCCGGGACCGCGGGATTGCGAAAGCAGGCGCGCACACCACGAGACAACTTCCAAAAGCCGTTTCGCGAGCAAGAAAATCGCACGGCGCCACAGCGAGAGCGCTTCGACACGCACGATCTCCGCAGAGGGTTCATCGGGCTCAAGACAAATTCGCACGGCGCCACAGCGAGAGCGCTTCGACACGCAGATCTCCGCAGAGGGTTCGCCAAGGTCAAGACAAATTCGCACGGCGCCACAGCGAGAGCGCTTCGACACGCACGATCTCCGCAGAGGGTTCGCCAGGTCAAGACAAATTCGCACGGCGCCACAGCGAGAGCGCTTCGACACGCAGGATCTCCGCAGAGGGTTCATCGGGCTCAAGACAGATGCGCACGGCGCCACAGCGAGAGCGATCCGACACGCATGATCTCCGCAGAGGGTTCGCCGCGCTCAAGACAAATTCGCACGGCGCCACAGCGAGAGCGCTTCGACACGCACGATCCCCGCAGAGGGTTCATCGGGCTCAAGACAAATTCGCACGGCGCCACAGCGAGAGCGCTTCGACACGCAGGATCTCCGCAGAGTGTTCGCCAAGGTCAAGACAAATTCGCACGGCGCCACAGCGAGAGCGCTTCGACACGCACGATCTCCGCAGAGGGTTCGCCAAAGTCAAGACAAATTCGCACGGCGCCACAGCGAGAGCGCTTCGACACGCACGATCTCCGCAGAGGGTTCGCCAAGGTCAAGACAAATTCGCACGGCGCCACAGCGAGAGCGCTTCGACACGCATCTCCGCAGAGGGTTCGCCGGTCAAGACAAATTCGCACGGCGCCACAGCGAGAGCGCTTCGACACGCACGATCTCCGCAGAGGGGTGCGTTTCGTAAGCTCCCGTCGGGCCTACCCCCGCCATAAAAAGAAGAAGAATTAAGAGTCGAGAAGTGAAGGTAGAACAGAAAAGTTAGCTTGTGTTTTTAGGATAGTGAAGTAACACCCGACAAATTAGCTTGTGCTTTAGGTAGAACAGAAAAGTTAGCTTGTGTTTTTAGGATAGTGAAGTAACACCCGACAAATTAGCTTGTGCTTTTAGTAGAATGAGATAACAGCCGAAAAGTTGACATGAGAAGTAGGCAGGTGAAGTAACTCTCAAAAAGTTGACATGAGAAGTAGGCAGGTGAAGTAACTCTCGACAAGTTGGCATGAGAAGTTGGCAGGTGAAGTAACTCTCGACAAGTTGGCATGAGAAGTTGGCAGGTGAAGTAACTCTCGACAAGTTGGCATGAGAAGTTGGCAGGTGAAGTAACTCTCGACAAGTTGGCATGAGAAGTTGGCAGGTGAAGTAACTCTCGACAAGTTGGCATGAGAAGTTGGCAGGTGAAGTTGGCAGCCGCTTTTAGAAGAAGAACCCTTCGCAATGCTTCCGGGAAAAAAAACATAAACACAACAGTTTGTTGGAGTTGGGGGTGGGTCTGGTCTGGCACCCCCCGCTTGGATGTTGCCTTTCAAGGGAAAACCAAAAGCAAGCAAGGGTTTCAGGGGTGGCCTTACTTTGAGACACTACTCTTGGGTTCTTGTATGCTTTGGTTGGACGGGGAATTCCCAAATGCCCTACTAAGAGGAAGCAAATTCCGGAGTCGAAAGGCAAATCTTCTGCTTGCGATGAATCACGGTTGGGAGGTAGCCCTTCTACCAGCTCAGTCAAGCCCCAAATCAGCCAGAACAAATGACACCAAAGGCCATTTGAAAGAGACCCATGTAACCCATATTTTCGCACAACCACGGTATGTGCTCCAACAGAAAATAGCAAACAAATCCCGAAACCGAACTCGAAAAAGAGCAGATGCCTCCGGGGTGTCCTCCCCCACGAAGACGCGAGCAGCCACCGCCCTGGCATCCAGATGTAGAAGCCCCCGAATGGCTCCAAACATGCTAGCAGCAGTCAGTCCCTTCAAAGGGAAAATCCCGGAAAAACGACCAACTGCAGCCCGGTCAAGGCAAGTCATGCCGACTCCGGATTGATCAATCTGTGCATTGTGGAGGGTGTACACCCAAAAAAAAGTGAGGCTCCCCTCTTTAAAGTGGGCAAAGCAAAATATATATATAATTGAAAAAAGAAATGTTAATCCTCGGCTCCCAGTCAAACCATCACAACCCTCATGTTGTTTGAGCAATGTGTCTCGTGTAAATCATGTTCGCCCCGGCTAGTATTTATTGCGCCCCAAGTGACACCCCGCATTTTGGCGAGTTCCCAATGTCACCCCGCTTACAGAAGATAACAGTAGATGTAGACCGTTGCTCCCATGTGCACCAAAAGGGTCAGCCCATTCTGGCCTTGAGACCATCCCGCCTGGCGGAGAGTTTCGGATGCGCTTCGCACAAGGACCGCCGCCACCTGTCAGTGCGCTGGGGGAACATCCTGGGCCTTTTATGGCTGAATATTCAATCGCTTGAGTGGGTTGGTCCAAAACAGTTTGTTATCTACCAAAAAGTAAGTCTAGAAACTCGGGAAGTTACTTTCGGGGGCGATGTTAGAACACCCCCCCAAACCAACGCAGTGATCACCTTCTATGTCTGGTCCTTCGGCTACCGCAAGATTGATGAGAACCAATGAATAAAATTCCTGGCTGATTCATAGGGATAGGGTGTCTCCATTCTCGGAGGGCCTACTCCGCGTTGATTCATTCAGGTGCAAAACCCAAGGCCCCCGACGGCAGATACCTCGAAAGAGCCTTCTTCCAGGTTCGCGGTTCGCGAGGGTCCAGAGAGAGAAGAGCTAAGGACCTCAATGGCCCGGATTACTGCGCCTTCGGCTGTAAGTGTACAAGCGGCAGTCGAATTACGTCCGGCAGTAGTGGCTTTACATCTGCCATGTAAGAATGTCGTTCTGTTGACAGGATACCAAAGGTCTACCAAACCAACCATCGTTGGTTTGGCAAAGAGTTTGGCAGGCCTGAAGACACTCCTTTACAGAAATCGTCTGTCCGCAACTCAGAAGATGTCGTCCATGATCTCAGCAGCGATGAACCCCCCGGCAAAGCCAGCCTTGGTGCCAAAAAGCGGGATCTGGTTGTAAAAAATCACATGAGTGTGTCTTTTCTGTAGGGGACCTGCAAAATGGTGGTTTTTCTTTTGGTTTCTTTTTAAAACCACCAAACAGCGGTAGACACCCTCAAAAAAGCACACACGCCAACATCCCTTCTTGGTTTGGGGAACCCAACAACTACCCTCCAGCACACCACACTTAAGAGTCTCTTCAGGAAAATGGCCCAAACCCGGACCTCCCCGGTTGAATTTGGCAACGGCGGGAGGTGATATCGAAGCTTCTACAAATAGGCCCGCATTTGGTCGGTCAAAAAAGCCAGACGCCGGCCATGTCAGGAGAGACGCCAATTTCGAGCAACAAGAAATGTAGTTGGTTTAGGCAACCAAAAAGGGCCATGAGGGTTCAGTACATTTGCCGCGCGGCTAAACCAGCGCCGGCCATGGCCATTCCGCCGCCCAGGCCGTGGCTGCCATGGGAGCAACCGGATTGGAGGAGCGGCCGGTCTGCCTGACGACCGCTTCTTTGATGGTTTTAAAGGGGAACAATAACAACAAACCGCCATTTTGGAGGTCCCCTACAAAAACGACGCACCCGTTTCTCCCCCGACCTGCCGGCTTTTGGGGGGAAAAGCCAGCTTTTTGCACCAAAACTTGCTCTGGAGTTTGATAGGGAATCAGCGGTTTAAAGGAAAACGGAATGGTTCAAATTGGGGGTCATTCCCTCATTCCCTACTGAGAACAGAACTACATCAATATGTGTATATATATATATACATTTATATTTATACGTACGTACGTACGTACGTATGTATGTAAGTATGTGTGTGTGTGTGCGGGTGCATGTATGTCTGTATGTCTGTCTGTCTGTCTGTCTGTCTGTCTGTCTGTCTGTCTGTCTGTCTGTCTGTCTGTATGTCTGTATGTCTGTCTGTATGTCTGTATGTCTGTATGTCTGTATGTCTGCATGTCTGCATGTCTGCATGTCTGTATGTCTGTCTGTCTGTATGTCTGTATGCCTGTATGCCTGTATGTCTGTATGTCTGTATGTCTGTATGTCTGTATGTCAGTATGTCTGTATGTCTGTATGTCTGTATGTGTGTATGTCTGTATGTAGGTAGGTAGGTAGGTAGGTATGCATGTCTCTGTATGTATGTATGTATGTATGTATGTATGTATGTATGTATGTATGTATGTATGTATGTATGTATGTATGTATGGATGGATGGATGGATGGATGGATGGATGGATGGATGGATGGATGGATGTATGGATGTATGGATGTATGGATGTATGGATGTATGGATGTATGGATGTATGGATGTATGGATGTATGGATGTATGGATGTACGTCTGTCTGTCTGTCTGTCTGTCTGTCTGTCTGTCCGTCCGTCTGTCTGTCTGTCTGTCTGTCTCTGTCTGGTCTGTCTGTCTGTCTCTCTGTCTCTGTCTGTCTGTCTCTGTCTGTCTCTGTCTGTCTGTCTGTCTGTCCGTCTGTCTGTCTGTCTGTCTGTCTGTCTGGTCTGTCTGGTCTGTCTGTCTGGTCTGTCTGTCTGGTCTGGTCTGGTCTGGTCTGGTCTGGTCTGGTCTGGTCTGGTCTGGTCTGGTCTGGTCTGGTCTGGTCTGGTCTGGTCTGGTCTGGTCTGGTCTGGTCTGGTCTGGTCTGGTCTGGTCTGGTCTGGTCTGGTCTGGTCTGGTCTGGTCTGGTCTGGTCTGGTCTGGTCTGGTCTGGTCTGGTCTGGTCTGGTCTGGTCTGGTCTGGTCTGGTCTGGTCTGGTCTGGTCTGTCTGTCTGTCTGTCTCTGTGTCTGTCTGTGTCTGTCTGTGTCTGTATGTACGTACGTACGTACGTATGCATGTATATGGCTGGGACTTGCTTCAAAGTCCCCAGAAAAAGAATCCGTTGGGGCATCTAAAAAGTGCTAAAACGGAGAAGTGCTCTGGCGACCTTTGAGTTGGATGGCACCCCCACCCTTTTGGTCGGGCCTGATAGGGCTGGACCTCGTAGTCGGGCTGGCCAAAGGGCTGAGACTGGGTGTGGTAGGGCTCTTGGTAAGGTGCCTGGTCACGGTAAAAAACATCACCCTTTCTGCGATGCCGCAGTGAGAACTTTGTCTCTATCACTGCTAGCATGAAAGCGCCTTGGTAAATTACTACTCACAAACCGGAAAAAGAGACGATTGGTCCAGCTGCGTGATAACTTCCCCCCCCCCACACCTCCCAACTTTCCCAACTTCCCCCCCCCCCAAATTTCCAAATTGCCTTGCGTGCCGGCTGGGCTTCGTGCAGCGGAACGTAGGGCTTGCCTTCGCCGGGCGTGTAGCCCACCGGAAGCGTCATCGCTGGGTTGCTGTACTGACGCTCGTGCCGCGCGTGAGGCACGTGCGGCCGAGAGCTTTCACAGCAGCCCATGTTGCGAAGGAGAGATGCACGAGGGCTTAGGGATCGCTGGGTTCCCCCAACTTCAAACCCCTGGAGTTCGAGTTACATGAGCCAAAATGCTAAGTATTTTTCCAGGCTCAGAAGTCCTACTCATCGCCACGTTGCCAAAACCATGCAAGCCAAGGTGAAAGCAAGCTTGCCAGAGTTCAAACTCCAAGCAATTCCGCACAAAAGCTGTATTTGACAGAGAAGCAGCCAGTGCTTCCAATTGCCTGTTCTGCTAAGTTATCAAACAAACTATCATGTATAAAACGAACATATGTAACAGGGTTGTTCATGCATGTACATAGTTGCATCTCAACATATACATCCTTCTATAGAGAGAGAGAGAGAGAGATGCACAATGTACACATGTGTCCATTATATATATATATACATATATACATACATACATATATATATATATATACATATATATATATATGTAGTTGTGCAAGTATGTGTATTTATATGCATGTGTGCGCATTTGTCTATGTCTATGTCTATGTATATGTATATGTATATGTATATGTTTGTGCATATGTAGATGTAGATGTAGATGTGTGTATATACATGTGCGTTGTGTTATTCCTACATGCATATCCACGGTGCGTGATCTGACATACGCTTACAAAGAATAAACACAAAAATGCTTCCTTGCGTGGTTGCTCTGGAATCAGCGGCACAAATTCTAGGAGAGTTGTGATATTTCACCACCTGGAAATGAGGATCTCCTGGTAAAGATTCTGCGTCATAGCTGGAATCTCATGTCATAGCTGGAACCGCACGTTTTACCTGGGAATGGGTCAGCTCTTGAACTAAGTTGCCCAGATTCTTGTATGTCCTGCTCAGAGAAGGTCAGCTATACATTTGGTGTCCGCCTTCAGCCCCAGAAGCGGTGTCATTGGCAGAAGGGGTTCGGAGCCTCAACAGCATACGCAGCCTCTCCGCGCCTGGCCGGTGGCGCCAGCTTCCTGCGCCAGGCCATGCCTGAACGAGCCAAAAGTTGAACTGAGGGGTCGCATGGACTTTAGCCCCATGAACCACGGCTTTGGTGTGCTCTCAACATGGACACTTGCCCTCTTAGGTTGTTTATACAATAGGTGCCGAAATGTGACTCAACAGGGGCAGAAGGCGATTGGTCGCGAACAGAAATTCCAACTTGGCACCCGGGTTTGGCCAATCCCTTAACAAGGTTCAAACCCCCAAACTGATTGAAAAGCCTCAGTTTGATTCCGCTGTAATGGGGGGCCAGGGGTGGTTTAATCAATTTTTCCCAACCGCGCACGAAGGCAAAGGACCCCCGAGAACCGGAAGGTGATCAGCCTTGTCAAGACTCCAAATGACTCGGCACCCCTTGAAAGGAAAACCCAAATGGGTCAATGCTTATCAAGTGGTTTACTCTCCTGCATTTTAACAGGAATCCACAAAGCCTTCTCCTTTTGGGGAAGGGGTCGCCTTCTTTGGGGTTCCATGGCAACTTAAAGGGGCGATTCGTTTCGGGCAAGAGAGTGCTTGCTAGGCTCGGGGCGCTGCCTTCTTGTCTACTCTTTCAACCCGGTCAAAAGGTAGATTCCATACCCGAAGGGCACATGATGCTGTGTTCATTCTTCCCCCAAGATGCTTGCGAAAGACAATACCCGCCCTTTTGAATCATACCACTTGCTCTCCCCGCAACATGCCATCAGGACACAAGCGATCGCATCTTGAGAGCAACTGCCTTTGATGCTTGCCCAGCTGCCTGCCAGCGAAGCATCCGCACGTCCCTAGGCATGCTCTCTCTTCTTCTCTCTCTCTCTCTCTCTCTCGCTTCTGCTCTCCCAAGATAAGTTCATCCACTCAAAGCCGGGGCTTCCCACCCTGAGTACGGCTTGCCGGATTCGAATCGAATCTGGCATCGCCAGCATACTTACACCTTGACAACGCAACCGACCACGGGAAACATCACTCAAACCAAGAATCCCGCTGGCCTTTAAAAAAGCCACCCGAGTTTTGATCAGCCTTCCCCCGAAAAGCCGCGCCATCAGCTCTCAGCGCCCACGCCTCATCTGCGGGGTCCACCAAATGCAGCAGCTTGCGCTGCATCGTGCCCTGCGTGTTCGAGTGTCGCAAGCCCCCCGTGCCAGGAATCCCGTCCTCGTTCCAAAGCTCGTCCAAAACAAAGTTCAAGTGCTTGAAGATGTTGCCTCAAAAGGGCGCAAGTGCTTTTGCTACCATGTGCAAAAGTGCTGGGCATCGTGCATGCTTCAGCATGCCTAGGTGTCCTTTCGGAAAAAATGATGGCGCTGGTAACTGATTAGAACTGAACCCAAACCAGTACCGTCTGTGTTCAACCAAACTGACCAAATGTTCAACCAAACTGACCAAAAAGGACACTTTGTCTATGCTTCCATCGGTGCATGATCAAGATTCCCTTCAAACAGCCCTGGCTCGATGGTCGATTGATGAATTGATAATCAGGTAGCCAGATGGGTTTGTCTCATAATACGGGCCCCGTTTTTCCTCAAAAGCAACCCAAAAACGGCACCTTCAAAACAACGTGCACGCAGATCTTTGGACTGAACTTTTCCAGTTCTATCCAGTCGTATCTCCAAAATTCGGGATCCGCAAAATGTTGGTCGCCCGTTCCGTTTCCATTTTAAGCCACCCCAAGACACCCCATCAAGCCCTCTCAGCGGGGCAAATGTTGGGCTGTGGCTCGCACCGTCAGAGCGGCCGGTGAGGCCCAAGTCCATGTCCTAACGACGTTCTGAGGCTCGTTCTGAGGTGTTTAAACATGTGTAAACCACGCAACGTGTTCAACAACCTCTTGTTGATCTCCCTTGAAAGGCGACCAGGGTTTGTCCCTGTAAATAGGGCACAGGGGTTGGCTGTTCAAACAATGCTGGCCCCAAACCTGCACGAAGGCCATCCCAAAGGACCCCCCAATAGCACTGGGTTGGGTGAGTCAACCCCTTTTTGAAACATGCTGACACCCCTAAACTGCTTCAACTACCTCCTGTTGGTTTCCCTTTGAAGGGGACTGTTCGGGCTTGGTCGCTATGGATTTGCCCAACCCTGATCCGTTCTGGCTCCTGAATGGGTGCTTCTCTAACCTTAAACCTTGTGGGATTCCGTTTGGACGAGGGCCCCTTTTTTGGTTTCCCTTGAAAGCCATCCAAACAGGGGTCTCTATTGTATCCCCTTTGACCGTTTGGTTTCCCCTTGTAAACCATCCAGTTATGCCGTGATTGGAGTCCCCAGGCAAAGCTGGGGTAGCAATATCACCAACGTGGACTGAGCCCCCCCCCTCCCCCCGCATTTTTGTGGCTCCAAGATTCCTGTTCGCACTGCGGGCTTTCCAACATTTCGACCTCACACAAAGGAAACTTGTTGAAGGCTGCATGTCCAAAAGCGATATGGGTGTGTGTCTTCTCTTCAGGATACTCGTTTTAGGGTTGTTTTAATGAACAACCAAACGGAACACTTCCGGGCTCCCCCCCCCAGTTGGAGGCCAACCCATGTTTCAACTACCAGAAAACAATCCTCAAACTGCTGGTTTCCTTTTGGACTGGTGGAAAAGGCTTCATGCGAGAAAAGCGTCGGATTGTATCCAAGCGCTGACCAGAGAACGACTTGTTCGCCGTCCTGTCTCCAGGCGGACCGGTACAGGCTGGGCACCCACAGCGCACGCAGGGACAACTGCTCCTTCCACCTCCGCGAGGAAATGTTGAAGGGTGCGCCCTTTGGATGGCACCGGCTTGGTTGTTTTAAGGGAAAACTGGATGTTGAACAGGGGGTCTGGAGGGAAAAAAACAACACTACTCATCCCTTTTGCTGCCTGTTGGGTAGGTTACATATGTGTACGCTATTTAGCAAATAGAAAACCAATGGTAAAGGGAGTTACAGGGGTGACAAACTGTAAGCTCAAACGCATGGGTGCAACCATTTGAAGCGGTGTGCCCCTTTTTGGACGGCATCCCCCGACGGTGGAAGTCCGACAATCACCATCCACCAAGGCTTGCTAACTTGGTAATTCCTCCCTAGGTGACGTGACCGAGCAAGCAGGCAAGCAGCAACCCCATCTGCCAACAAACACCACGATCAATGGACAGGGTTCCCTGTATTTCTTTCGAAAGCATCAAGTGGCCAAAAAGTTGCTTTCAAAAGAATCCTTGATCCAGCAACCCGCATAGGCAACCAGCGAAAACCACCTTGAAAAACAAACTGGCAAAAAATTGTTTGGGCTACGAGTAGATCCACTGGGCACCTTTTTCGGACTCTGCCCTCAAAAATCGCCTCAAATAAAAGCCCTCGTTGGTGGGTTTCAAGGGAAATCCCCCCTTGAAGGCCCCAGAAGTGATTTTGATGCAACCACTGTAAGGGACCCGGTCCAATGCCATTGCCAAAACTGGATTCCAGCGTAAGGGTTCACTTCGAGAGACGGAACAACTGTTCCAGCAGTTTCCAAAGCAGATAGTACCGCCCATATAACCCCGAGCAAATCCCACTGTAAATCATGGAAACTGGGGTTGCTCATCGGTTTGCCAAAAGTAGGAGAATGGAAAGAGTAGCTACAGTCACAGAGTCTGCTGCTGGCGAACCGAACCCATCTATCCGACCTGACTAGGTGGATCCCAACGCTGAAGGTGAGCCCCAATCGACACCCAGTGGCAAAGAAGAGTTTTGGCCCTCTGGTGGACATGGAATCGGATTTATCTCCAATCATTGGGAGACTTCCGGTCCCTCAAATTCAGCAGCCGACTCACCCCGATTCCAAGCCTGTAGAAAAGCAGAGAATTCAGGCTCTGGTCCACAAAGGGCAAATGCCTAATGCCGAAGTGCCCCTCGGAATTCCAGGGAAACCCAAAAAACGAAAAATCGCAACCGGGTATGATGCACCTTTGGAGCACGTGTTTTCAGTTTGGACGGTTTTTTGCAAATTGATCACTATTGGAAAGAGAACCCCCTCCACTGGCTCAGCGGAGCCCAAAGTGAGCCATTTGTATAGATTATTTAGCGGTTCTTCAGGATATCCCTGCAAGGGTGTGTTTTGGGGTGTATAGATTTGCCCTTGGACTTTCGATTCGTTGGGGTTGGGCTAACCTAACTGCTTAAAAATGTTTATGCCAATATGTTCCCAACTGTCCTCTGTTCGGGCGCTGGGTGAGCAGGACGAAGTGACAAGCGCAAGGCTGGCAAAACCATCATGAGGCTCTGCCATGTTTGTGAAAAGCCGCGGGGAACAGTTCAAGTCTACTCTGGTCACAAAGGCACGCCTCAGATCGCATAGGTCCAACTATAGATGTGTTTGAGTTGAGCAGTGTAAGCATGCACGTCCACAAATAGACGCATGGTGCTGTATATATATATATATATATGGAACGTGCATGATTTTGGGAGCGGGAACTTTCAAAGCGTGCTGTTTGGGTGCGTCATTCATTTCCCACGTCTGTTCTTTGTCAACCGAGGGCACGCCAGCGTGTCGTAGTCCTCCGCCTGATGGGCCTTACGAGAGCCAACTGCTCAGACTGGACCTATGCAAGTTGGAGTGAGGTATGCCTGTTGTGACGAGGGAAACCACCCAGAACCCAGATTGGGGCTCCCATATGTTCAGACAAACCTCAATGTGTGGTCAAAACTCCTTCGCTGGGCCATGGTCATGGTTCCCTTACCTTTGCATTGTCTAAATTCTGCATGGGGTTCATGACCATCCCTGCCAACCACAAGAGCAACAACCGGTCTTTTGACCAAATTCGAGGGCCAAGCCCACTCCCGCAAGAAACGGGCGCTGCGGCGGTTCTTCCGCCTCGGGTTGCAACTCCAGCTTTCGACCTTCTGAAAGAATGGAGCGTGTGTACAAAGTTGGCCCATTCCCCTTCAAAACAAAAAAACAAAAAGAAACAAACAACACATAAGATGACGTTTAAAACGAGCAAGACAAATCAAACCATCTGTATTTTACTTCCCAAGTGTCAGGGCAGCCCTGGCCTGTACTCTGAGCTTCCAGCCACACGGACCAGGCATGCTGCAACATGGGGCGATCCCAGTGGGCGGCACAGCACTCCGCCGGCGAACTTGGCCTCGCTTTGGGAGGCTTCTTCTCCCGGCGCTTTTGGAAGGATCGGAGCACTGCTGAAAGATGCAAATGGTCTTTCACCTTCCCTAGGTTTTATGGTAGTTCACCCTTTGAAGCCAATGGGTTCTACTGGGCCGGCCACCAGTGTCATGATGGAAACCTGGTATTCAAGGGGTGTACCCAAAGCCCAGAGGAAAGAATCCAGCGGGCGTGCTACCTGCTCATCTGGCCAAAACCATTCTGGCAGGTTGGGCAAACCCCTTACCTATTGCACAAACAACCGTCTTTGGGCTCCCCTTTAAAGGGGCAGGATCTGGAAGCTTAAGCAATTTTACCCAACCCTGACCAGGCCTGCATATGCCCAGCTTCCACATCAAGCCGCAGAAGATGTCAGCAGCCTGTGATCCAGCTGCTTGTGCAAGCGACTGGGAACGTGCTTAGAAGGTACAGGAGTTAGCTAAGCGGTTGCTAAGCCCAATGTTCAACCCCGGAAGCCCTTGAAACTATAGGCGTACAAACCAGTTGCCTAATTGCCAGACTAGTGCCAGAATCTACGGGTTGTGGCTCACCTTGATTCACCGCTCACCGCTCAACGAATCCTTCAGGACCCGGCTCGGTCACGATCCACTGGCTCACCATAAGGAGGCACCTGAATGGTGCACAGCGCCAGCAGAAGCTGTGGATCTTTGAAGCGGGCAAAACATAACCTTCCGGGGACCCCAGCTATTGCATGGCCCTTGTTGCCAGTGGACCAATCCTCCAACTCTTTGCTCCCTGAAAGGGGGCCCCCCCAAATCCACAACCTTCTTGGGAATTCCACAAAAGGCCATAATTGGGATCGGTGTTTGGGGGGAGCAACTGAAAGAATACTTAGCACTGCACGCACTGCTGCAGCCATTCGTACTCCATGGTCTGCCGCAGTCTCACTGCAGCCAGACCTAGGCGGAGACTAGCACACTCGTGGGTTTCTACCCAAAATGGGTTGGCTTCAAAATGCTGGACACTCCTAAAAACATACCATTTCAAATGGTTGCATTGATGCATACATGTGTAGAGGGGGGTATGAGCACTGGTCAAAAAAAGAAAGCATTGTTAGAGTCGGCTCAGAGCTCTAGCTCAAAACGAGTCTAGCAAAAGCAAAGGCGGACCGCAATGTCTGGTTTGCGTTTCAAGGCATGAACGTGCACAACTTTGTAGACATGTTCTCCCCAAGAAATTGAGCAATCCCTGTAGGTTGTGTGTGTGTGTGTAATTGGGCAGTCAACCCGCGCCTTTTCCAAACAAACAATCAATTTACGCCTGATATGTGTCAAAGCGAAGGAGCGCGCAAATGGTTGGGCTCATGTGGCCCCCAGAAGCGTCGATTTTTCCAAAAGCGTCATGCCTCGACTGGTCTTGACGCAGCACAGGTGATTTGAGCCACGGTCAATATTCGTTGTGTCGCTGACAAGGGAATCTGGTGAGTGTCCCATGTTTATGAATGGACAGTTGATGAGTGTGCCCTTTACTGAGATGATATCACCGTTGCTCATGGCTCCCGCGTCTCTTGGCTTAAGTCGTTTTCGATGATCGGCTTTTATTTTCACCCAGCGCGACCCGGGTGCGCTGAGGGTACCCCTCTCCTGTTTCTTTCAGAGAAACCTCAACGGACACCAAATGACTGGTGGGAGCGCAAAACCTGCACTTCTCTGGGGGTAACTTCCCTTATTTCCAGAAACGCACCAAAAATCACGTCGAGACGGCTAATGTGAGTCCCACTTCGTTTCAAGACAAATGGAGGGTCTTACGTTTAAGTTCAAATCTAGCCGCCAATTGGCTTGAAAAGACAGGGGATGATTGAATCCAGTCCAGGTAACTTGGCTTCAAAAGCCTCCCGGAGTCAACTCCTACCAGAATTGGGCTTGTTGAGTCCACTCGGCACTACAGAAAGGGACCTGAAAAAAGGGGGCCCCGTTCCCCTTTGATTTGGGGCCCACAACCCGTATTCTGTAAGAGAATAAGAGAATCCAAAACCCTCATCCCGAAATATCATGGTTTCACAAGAGAAACCTCCAAATCAGATTGGAATCCTGTAAACCCCGTTGAAAAAGCAGCACCGGCGCTCCAGCGCTTTCCACGTCGGCGTGTGCTTGGAACTCTGGGCCCCTGGCACTCGCAGGGGTTCTCCTCGCGGTTAGCCTCCAGCCACGCCAGCAGCGGCTGCACCGAGGAGCTGAAGCCCTCCTGCACGTACCGCGACGCGTCATGGTAGACCTCAGAGAATGGAACTCGTTGCAGTTTCAGGTCGTTCTGGTCGCTCTGGTCATGCTCCCAGGACAACAGTTTTGAATGGTCCCCGGGGATTCTGGGAACGCACCCGGGCTGAGCTTCCGGCAAACTGCAAAGGTGTAAAGAGGAGATGAAACTAGACCCTGGGTGCAAAGCAAACGTTGCTTCTAGGGAGCTCAAAAAGAGAAAAAGGGATACCAACCATGTCAAAAGGGGCACCGAGTTCTAAGTTTTAACGCACAGCCATGTTGTAGATTCTATTCATTGGTCGTTTGGGGTCAAGTGTTATCCCGAAACATCCACCGACAAAACCCAAGGGCAAGCTCAAAAGTGCAGAAGAATCTGAAAAGTGCTCCAACCATACTGAACATACTGAAAAAAGACACCACAATGCCGAACACACCAAATACACCCGACAATCAAACGCAGCAAGCATACTGAACATGACAAGGAACCTATCAACATATCAAACATGCAACCATGCCTAAACATGCCGAACATACCGAACGCACAAGACATATACCAGTGCCAAGCACGAGCCGAGAAACGAGCCACTCACCCCACTTCACATGCCTGAAGGCCTGCCAGATCGCGTACGGCTTCCAGGCGCCGCCCCTTTTGAAGTTCACCCGCTCGTGCCTTTTGTACCAGTCTCCGTGAACCCCGGACTCCTGGGCCGAACTAATATAGACCCCCAGAGAAAATGAAGGCCAAGAAGGCAAACATGAAGACTTGTTGCTACATAAAGAGAATCCCAAAAGGGCTACAAAAATATGAATTGGTAATCAAGACACAAAAGGGCCAAGGGGCAAAAGGGCAAAAGGCAAATTGACTAAGTCTGGCAATGAATCGAAGGAGGACTTGTTCCACGGCCAGTGCTCCGAGATCTCGGCGATTTCCAGGCTGTCGTGCAGCCTTCGCTGGGTTTCTTCAAAGATCTTCCCCGTCGCGTAGGTGGTCAACAGCACCCGGCGCAAGCCAAACCCAGGCCGTCTTTGGCCGGCGTGCGCTGTCTCAGATGGGGCCTTGGTTGGCACACACTTCCAAATGAAAGCCCTGGTGTCCTTTGATTGGCTGGGGCCCGGGGCCCACAACACCCCTCCCTTGAAAAAGAACTTGGGTTGCCTTCCTTCCCCACCCGTGCCTGGGACGAGTCGGCTTCGTAGACCGCTGTCCTGGCGCCCTCCGGGGTCGGAGAACCCAAGGCCTGCGCCAGGCCCCGCACCTCGCAGAGCCCGGGTTGAAGCAGAGCGGCGCCGGCGCAAAGCTCGTCAGCTTCGCAAAGGAGTTGGCACTCCTCCGAAATGGCGGAAATCCTCCACCCAGGAACCCAGTAAAAACCCTTTGGGGCAAATTGGCGCGAACCAGGGGGCCCTTCTCGTCAGATTTTATGTTAGCACCAATAAGTACTGCAGTTCAAGTACTTTTGCTCGAAGTTTTGCAGTAAGAAAGAACAGCATGATAATTGTTACTGGCACAAGAACTCCATAACTCACCAAAGGGTTCAAGTACCCGTTGAGGATGCATGTTGGGCGTTGAAAAGCTTGAAAGTGCCTCCTTTCGAAAGTACTTAGAATGTTGGGGCCGCACAATGAAAACGAGAGGCTGGACCCAAAAATGGTTGGCGTCCTTTTGAAACACGTCAAAAGAGCATAGCCATCTAAAGATTTCGGAATGTTTGGTAGCTGTGGGGGATGAGAGTCCATGTGCTGTAAACAGCCCCGCAACAGTGGCTTTTGGTTCTACCAACCAATGAAACCAAGTAGCAGAACCACCTTCCAAGATGTCCAATAGGAATTCCCCATGGGTTCAGCCTTTTGTCAGGGTGGCTCCAAAGGCCCAATCGGCACACAAGGGTCGACATTTGGCCACCCTGGCAAGAAAGAAACACAAGAAACATAATTTCCTACCAGAGGCTCGGACAACATGGCTCAGCACCCTTCCATTCTACTGAAACCGATGGTTTAGTGCATGTGGGTTGGCTCTTACTCTCAAGATCAAGGCCAGCAATCCAAATCTTAAAGAAGACTCTTGTGACTCAAAGCCCCAGGCTCATCCCCCGACACAAGTACAACGCGGACAACTCCCTCCCAGCACAACCAAAACAGCCAGGCATCATCGTGATCTTGCACAGCTGCCAAATATCCAGGCACTGACATTGGTGACACACAGAGCCATATTTGGCACTACTTGCGTCCACCCAACTATATACCGGTTTTTTACGAGTTTGACGGTGTTCCGGGAGGAGTTGAAGTGCCAAGGTGGAGGCATGAGGTGCAAACAGCGCTGAGGCATGGCGTGAAAGCGGTCTGTGAGTCAGAAGGGCCGAGGGTGTTGTTCTGCCTTACTGAACATGATCGGCCAGCATGTAACTGTGGCTGCGAGATATACGCCGCTGAGTCAACGGTCGGAGCTGTGAATAGCTTTGGTCCACTGCACATCGGTACAAACGAACCAACACTAGAGAAGCCTCTCCTGGTAGTCTTCAAACAAAAAAACAAGCAACAAATTCCACTGCAAGCAAGCAAAACTTGAACACCTGGCTGTCGCAGGAAAACAGGCCATTGAGACAATCCCACAGCCCACGCCGCAACGCAGGGAGTTCCCGAAGCATAACCCCCTCACCTACCCTGGCTGATCCACTCCGCTCGGGCCCTACCCCAAGAGGAGAAGGGTCTTCCAACTTCCCTCAATTTCCAACGTGAGGGTAACGCTATGAAACCAGGCACTTCTTACACTAGCATTGCCACACCATCAATGTCCATCAGGCTTGGATTGGATGGTGGCTCAACCCATCTTGTTTAATGATAGGGTATGTAACATAGCAATATCAGACCAGGTTGAAAGCACATGACATTCCCCATCTCTCCGTCGGGCGTCGATAAAGAGATGACGAAACCAAAAAATGGGAAGGTGGGGTCTATCGCCCAGTTGCTTATGATGTAGTTGTTCCTCAACGGACCTCAGCTTGTGGGTTCCACCACGGGAGGATATGGCCATGCCCAGCGGTTTTTGGGCATTCGGGTCTGCTGGTCGCGCGACCGAAAATCTGTTCGCCCCTTCGGCGCGGCTCGCGGCTCGCGGCTCGCGGCTCGCGGCTCGGCAAGCAGGGCAAAAGGGGTCATTTTTCGCTTGGCTTGTGAATTGCTCAAACTTAGATTTGGATGGTGCCATACATATCCATCTGACCGATCTCAAAGTCTGAGGGTATGGCTTACCAAGATTGGCCCCAGAGAAACTGTTTGAAAAGGTGAAAGGGGCGATTCGCTTTGGGCCCTTCAGGAAAAGGGGGATGTGTCAAAAAGAGCTTGCAATGGTCATGTGAGCGCACTTAAAAGACAGCCGCCGGCGTGCCCAGTGATTCCAATCTGCAAAAGCACAGAGGTTCTTATACTGTCCACCTGAGCAATACCCCACAGATGGTAGCTTCCTTTTAGTTTGGCGAGAAAGGTGATATCTTAAATGTCAAATGGCTGTTCAGTCCTGGCAGATCAACCGAGCTTCTGCTTATGTGCTTTCGCATTCCAGAATGCGAGGACCGAATTAGGCATGGCATTAACTGGGCCGCGACCCGAGGCCAGCTCTGGTGCACTCCAAACACCCGCTGCAAACAAGCGAATACATTTGACATGCTCAAAGAAGCAGCTCGGCCTTGCGCCCCTCACTCCGGTCTCTTTGGGAAGTCTGCCCAAGCCATCCTAACGGAGCTGCCAGGGATTTGCGAAGTCGCTCAGTTGGAGATCCCCACGAAGACGCATTTACTGCCATGCAAATTCGCATGCAGCCCGAAAGAGGGTCACCCCAGGTCCCAGTTTTGGAAGCACACATGGGGCGCTGCTGTTCCGCATGGATGCTGGGGATTTTGAGGCCGCATGCACTTGGTCATGAATTAATGGGTTGCTAGTCAATTGGGAAACTTGGTCGTTGTGTGAAGCAAAAAACAACGGGGGCCAATCATTCTCTTCCCAACGCCTGTTTTTTTTGCAAGCAGTGGTGTTTCTTGCCGACAAAGAAGATCCATGGGCAAGAACAGGAAAGCAACTTAGATCAAATTCCTCTTGAAGGCACCACCGGTCAGGTGCCATGGCCATGTATGTGGCCAAGCCTCCTTGTGGTCCAGATTCCTCGTTCAGGGCTACACCGCTGCCGACCTGTAAAGGGCTAACACTGGGCACAGAGCAACGCGGACCCGGCCGTGCAGGACCTCGTCCAGGTTTGAGGCGCCGGCCCCTGACCCGGCACCCGCCCGCTCCTGCCGGTGAAGAAGGCCGTCCGCGGCAGCGACTCCAGGGCGATTCGCTGGCGCACCAGGTACACCTGGCAACATAAAACCGTGGACCCCCCGCTAGGTGTGTTGTCTTTGTCTATCTACCTGGTTGTTTGCTGTTCGAAGGATGCTTGTGTTCTTCAATCGCAAAAAACATCACATCGACATGTTGTTTCTTGACGGGGCACAAAAAAGAAGGCAATGGGCAAAAACACTGTGAGGTTTAGAGACAACCCCTCTGCAACAGGGATCCCCAACACACACTCGCTTGGCCTTCATTTAAAGCATCGCCTTTTCCGAGCCAAAAGCAAAGCAGCATTGTCGGGGGTGGTGGATACCATTGGACTCAGGGGGCTTGGAGCTAACAACGCCAGGCACTGCAAGCTCTTCCAGCTCCGGATGATCGTGCTCGCATGCGCCAAAGTACACGTTCGTCCACAGCACCTCGCATAAGCTTTGCGTCCTCAAAATTAAGAAGGTGTTCTCTTCCTCCAAACCACTACCAAGAAAATTTGGAAATATACCCTCTGTATAGTGGCCATGTAATCTTTGTATAATCCCATTTTGCAGTCGTAGCTTCTTGGAAACCCTCTTCTCGATTCGACGTGGCTTCTGTGGATCCACCCCTGTACAGTAAACGGTACTAAAAGAGCACCAAACAGGAAGAACTGGCTGAACCCAGAGCCCGACATTCGGCTGAACGTATGTACCCTATGAACCCGTCGCCAATCTTGGACCTCTCAAGATTGGGGTTGCTAGATATGTTCACAGGGTCTATGCATTCAGCCTTGACATGCGAAGCAGCTTTAAGCCGAGCGCTTGCTTGACGCAAGGAAGTAGGCCCACCTTCCCATCGGCCAGCACGGAATCCTTACGTGGCTCAACAAAACTACTGCCTTCAACACCCCTTGGAGCCAGAAGACTGCTTGGCAACTTTGGCACACCTCCAAGAGGAAACCATCACCTCCTTTAGAAGACCACTCACGCATGTATCCAAGGTAGCGGACGCAATGCCACCATGGCTCTTCCAGAGTGACTGCTTTGGCTGATCCGTCTGGAGCTTCTTGAAGGAACGCCTTGCATTGAGTCTCAGACGAAAGACATATATACACAGGACTCCCTTTTGCCCCCTTAAACATCGCCCGAGGAAGCTCACTTCAAATTGACCCAACAGGTGACAGTGAAAACAAGGGGAATCGAGGGAGCCCTTGCACTGCCAGGATGACAGGAGCTGCGGATTGAAGGTGAAAGGAGCCCGATATTGAGCCTCGTACCTCATCCAAGGCTGCACAGAAACCGAAGACATACTCCATGAAATGCTCGAGCTCCGTTGGGATGCTCATCGCCTGGCTTGGCTTCCAAAACACCGCAACAAACCTTTCAAGCTGCAAAGCAGGTGGAGCTGGCATGTTGCAGGCTCCGACTCCAGCATTTCAGAGATGCAAGAACACAAATGCCTGGGTCTCTCGAGCTTGCTTGGTCATATTGGCTAGCCCGCAGATTGCGCCAGTTCGCTTTTTTCCATGACGCCCGAAGCGATCATGGCATCGCACTGCGCAGGAAGAGCACCTTCCCGCTTCCTGACATTGATTTGTAGCATGCCAATGACAAAGTAATTCGGGGCTTGGGAAAATCCACTTCCCATCACTCGGATGGATTGATTCCTACAAATATTGGGATAAAACACTTACCAACTGTTGCAGATATGTTACTTTTAAACCTTTCTTGCATGGCTTCAGCCCTGGATTGATGCTGCATGCTTGCCGCTAATTGGGTAAACAGGACCTCCCGCTGTTTCTAAAGCAAGTGCTATAACTCTTCATGTCGGTATCAAAGCATCCTGACTAGAAGCGTTGACAACGTACTGCAAACTTAAACAAGAGTCATCACATGTGCCATGGCAATTACTCGTTGACCTGGTGAATATATATATATATATATATATACAAAAGGTATAGGTGTGTGTGTGTATGCGTAAGATATAACCATCTCTTTAACCCCAACAATCGCGGTGTTGTCACAACTGCGCACATTCAGCCCAGGATCTCTCACTCCATAGCTGAAACTGGGATTCCTCTGGCAGCGTGGAGTGCTCGTCAGGCGGAAGTAGTTGACGGACCAGCAAACTGGGTACGGCATCAACCATTGTGAGACAAACCCAGATGGATTCAGGGAGCGAAAAGGCGATTGAGTCAAAAGCTATGCTCCACCCAGAGCCGGGCAAAGAATGGCTATCCCCTACCAAGCTTCGCTTACCCAGGTTTTGACTGTAGCTCAGTTGAGCCGCGCCCCACAACCACGGCCTTCTGCTGGACCAAGCTGATAATAAAGGTTTTCAGGGCCCTGTCGCTCGCGGTCAGTTGATGAGGGGACATGACCTATGCGTAGCACTTGCAAACAAGAAAATGGAGACTCTTCATCTTGACGGAACCTGCTGTTGTGTAAGTCATGAAACGTCCAAACCCCTGATTCCTGTTCATTCAGTATACAAACTTAGGCAACAACAAATCTTCCACAACAGCGCCATATCCGTTCCAAGGTTGTCAATTTGTTTGATATTCCCTCTGAAAGGCGGTGAGAGGCGGAAAGGCGAGAGTCCAAAAAGGGTCATAACCACTGCCTGGCTCAGCCAAGCGGCACTACTGCCAGGCTTCACCGTGAGGAACTTCGCCGTCTCGTCCGCCAGCGCACCGTAGCTGGGAGCGCCCGTGGTCTCTCGTTTCAGGCCGTTGAAGTCTGCCAGAAACCTGCTAAAAACTAAACTAATACTGGGACATGTCATACTAAGGGCGCAGGGTACTGCCGGGAATGGAAAAGATAATGTATTCTTCTTTGAAACTTTACTTTGAATGCCTCTATATGCTAAACATCCAAAAGTATAAAGAGCCGTACAACTGGGAACCGAGACACGACTCCGCGCCAACAGTCGGGCGAAAGGCGAAGGACACGATGCTCGTGCGTATCAACACGTAGCCTGCGCACAGGGTTGCAGATAACAACACCACCCTTGTGATACAAAAGTTGGCCCCATTTGTGCGACAAGAAGATGCCCTTCAAACCCTCAACCCAAACCAGGAATGAGGAAGCCCCCCCACTGAAGTTGAGACGAACCAGTTCCTGACGATTTTTGAGGCGATCGCAATTTGCACCAAAGCGTTGCGTTTTTGCCGTGAGGTGAAACGATGAGCACAGTGTTGACATTCGCGACTTTCATTACCAGGTGGGCTGGTCATCCACAGGTTCGGCTATTTTCAATTCCAGAGGCAAAGCGCCAGCTGAACTTCTGGTATCTGAGCGGCACACAGCAACTCCGCAGAGTAGATCGAATGATCCTGCCGATGGCATAGGACTGGCCGGAATTGAGAGCGATGAGGATTGACTTGCAGCAAGCCCATCCATTCCACAAGTTCTCGTGCTGTGGCTCCGCAACTTTGATTGCGCGATCGACAAAAGGCACATGTGTTGCTCCAGCATCGAATTCACCACATTGTCAAGGCTCCATCGTGGCAGCCTGCCCCAACAGGGCTCCTGGAAACTTGACATAGCATCAAGCATCTGGCGGATTTGGCTGCTCATGTCGTCGGATTGCATCCATTGAGTCGTGCAGGGAGATGCCATCACGGCATTTGCACGCGATGGCCATGACACGGTTGGTGTAAGCATATTTTCATGATTTGGGAGTTGGACATTTCACCATTGCATTCGATACTTTGCCAGGTTTCCTCCAAAGCCCGTAGCTAAAGTCACGCTGACCGATGTCAAAGTATTGGCCAAGAAGAACCGAAACTAAGAACGACGCACGGCAAACAATGCCAATGCACAGTTGGCCTTGGCAAGGATCCGCGCTCTCAGTGTGAGCAAGAAAGATTCATGTGGTGTTCCAGAGTCTTGGCAAGATCGAATGTCATGACATCCGTGGCGGACTACCGCGACGGGGCCGCTACGTGAAGCTGAAACGAACCGTCCCAGTGAAGGACCTTCACCATGGGTGAGCTCGTTGAATCTGCGGGTGAGCTTGTCAAAGATTGGTCCAAGTGACTCTGCTTAGAGGACCAGTCTGTTGAGAACATGCTTTGAAACGCTTCCCAATCACCATGTATGGTCGCATCCGGAACCGAAAGGAATTGGGGAGCAAACCCAGGTGGCCAAGGGCCTAATATTCATAATTTGCCGAGTGTACTCAAGGACCTGACTGCGGCAAGTGACAGTAAACATTGACCATTCCCCATACATTTCCTGGCTCAGGCCCAACCCAGCCTGGCAGAGGCAAGGCACGGACCTCTATTATCTGGTCCAATGGAACCGGGATGGGAAAGCGCGTAAGAACATATCCTCAGCTTGCGGACAGCTGTCTTTCTCGTAGATCCATCTGCGCAACAACTTTGCCAAAAAGCAGACGGGTATTTGTCACTATTGTTCCCTGAAAAAAGCCAAGGGACCGAGCTCGCTTGACCCCAGGAGAGTGTGGCGAGCTCGCTACAATCTGTTCATCCGAATGCTAACCTTTGCCATCCCTGAGAACTCCCATATGAGTGGCCAGAAAGTGGCAACCTAACACCAAAATGGTCACAACCAGACTAACTGAAACAAAGTGATGTCCAATGTACCGCAGAGTGGCTTTGAGGGGATGAGCGGAAAATGTCAAGTCAGCAGGAAGAATGGTCCCAAAACAGGGGTCTGACAATGGAACAATTGGCACAGTGTCAAACAAATCTTGTTAAACCCTTCCAAGTAATTGGCAACTCCTTTCAGCTTTTTTCAAACGTCAACCGAGAAAAGGTCCCAACAGCACCAGAAGCCGACCAACGACTGATCTACGAGTACCGCTATGCCATCGATTCCTAGCTGGGCTTCGCAGCTGCTGGCCCTCCTCATCCAACTCCAGGCGGCGCGGGTAGAAGAAAAGCAGAAGGGCGGTGATGACGCACCACTGCAGAAAATGGGAGATGTGAATGATCCTTCACAGGAAACAGCGGCCATTTCCCCAGCAACTGTGACGGTTGTTCAGGCAAATTGTCGCCAAAAAGCAACTGGAGGTGTGCTTGCAGTGGATGTCCGTGAGAGTTGCTTCTTGGGGGGTAATGTGAGAATGCTTTCAACAGTATGCCCCACTATCTACCTCGAATCAAGAACCCCAAAGATGGGAAATTCGTGCATTCAATTGGGACCCACCAAATTTGTGTTGCCCAAACCCCCAACTTGGGGAACCCCCAAAGTAGTTGCCGTGTGCGACTTGGAAGTGGTCTTCGCAAACCTGGAGAGTGTTGCAAAGCGCACAGCAACTCTGCAAGCCCACATCGCATGGTTCCCCATGTTTCCGACTCGTAACGGGAAGCTGGGGAGTTACATTTTGGAGATGTATGATTCATATATATATATATATATGAAAAAAAGAAGCTCCCATAGATGTATCCACCACCCTGAAACCTGTCCTCAACTCCTCTCCAACGACAAACAGGAGGTAGAATGGATACACCACCTGAACCGCGAAAGAGGCCCATTTCCAAAGAAAAGGCGACCCCCTGGATGGTGTGAAAGGGAAACCAAAGAAAGTCACCCATTTTGAGGGCTCCGTAAGCCAAACCCGAGTATCAGCATCAATCGGAATGCATGCAGCTGCTGTGTAGATCACTTGTGCGCTGAGGACATCGCCATTGCCGCTGACCAAGCCAGCCCGATCATACTGATGATCGGCGTGACTGAGTACACCTTCATCGTTGAAGCTTCGTCAATCGCCGACTTTGGAGTCCGGAGAAACTCACCATGAATCGAATTACGCTAGGGATTGAGCCCTTCCAAAGGCACCGGGCGGCGCGTGACACTTCAACCTTTACCACCCGCCCTCTTCCCCTGCTGCAGTTTTGCCGACCCAAATTGATTGAACCTGGAGAATTGATAGATGGGCGGTGCTTTCCCGAAAGGTGAAGGATTCCTTCTTCCGTCCATTAACCCACCAGGTTGATGACTCCGGGCCAATATTGTCGCTTTCTCCCACACGAAAGCAGGGCAGCTTGACTGGGACGTCTTCTTGCCTGTGCGAGGCAGGCACAAACAACAGCAACGTCCTGCTCCAAGGAAGTCATGCGAAGGCAATCTGAGCCATGTCGTGTCGCACACGAATGGCATTGATCCGCGGCTACGGCTTTGATCACTTCATCCCGAATTGTTGTGGCATGGATTTGTGGCTTGGAAATTCAAACCTCGAGTGCCTCTTGAGACTTTAGTGGTAAGACAGCCAGTTTCCTCCAAACCACCAAGCCTCTGCTCAGGGGCAAGGCGATGTGTGTGTGTGTGTGTTCGTGCGCGTGCGCGTGCGCGTGCGCGTGCGCGTGCGCGTGCGCGTGCGCGTGCGCGTGCGCGTGCGCGTGGGCGTGGGCGTGTGGGCGTGGGCGTGTGGGCGTGGGCGTGTGGGCGTGGGCGTGTGGGCGTGGGCGTGGGCGTGTGGGCGTTTGTGTTTGTGTTTGTGTTTGTGTTTGTGTTTGTGTTTGTGTTTGTGTTTGTGTTTGTGTTTGTGTTTGTGTTTGTGTTTGTGTTTGTGTTTGTGGTTGTGGTTGTGGTTGTGGTTGTGGTTGTGGTTGTGGTTGTGGTTGTGGTTGTGGTTGTGGTTGTGGTTGTGGTTGTGGTTGTGGTTGTGGTTGTGGTTTGTGTTTGTGGTTGTGGTTGTGTTTGTGTTTGTGTTTGTGTTTGTGTTTGTGTTTGTGTTTGTGTTTGTGTTTGTGTTTGTGTTTGTGTTTGTGTTTGTGTTTGTGTTTGTGTTTGTGTGTTGTGTTTGTGTTTGTGTTTGTGTTTGTGTTTGTGTTTGTGTTTGTGTTTGTGTTTGTGTTTGTGTTTGTGTTTGTGTTTGTGTTTGTGTTTGTGTTTGTGTTTGTGTTTGTGTTTGTGTTTGTGCTTGTGCTTGTGCTTGTGCTTGCGCTTGTGCTTGTGCTTGTGCTTGTGCTTGTGCTTGTGCTTGTGCTTGTGCTTGTGCTTGTGCTTGTGCTTGTGCTTGTGCTTGTGCTTGTGCTTGTGCTTGTGCTTGTGCTTGTGCTTGCGCTTGCGCTTGCGCTTGCGCTTGCGCTTGCGCTTGCGCTTGCGCTTGCGCTTGGGCTTGGGCTTGGGCTTGTGCTTGTGCTTGTGCTTGTGCTTGTGCTTGTGCTTGTGCTTGTGCTTGTGCTTGTGCTTGTGTTTGTGCTTGTGTTTGTGTTTGTGTTTGTGTTTGTGTTTGTGTTTGTGTTTGTGTTTGTGTTTGTGTTTGTGTTTGTGTTTGTGTTTGTCTTTGTGTTTGTGTTTGTGTTTGTGGTTGTGTTGTGTTGTGTTGTGTTGTGTTGTGTTGTGTTGTGTTGTGTTGTGTTTGTGTTTGTGTTTGTGTTTGTGTTTGTGTTTGCGTTTGCGTTTGCGTTTGTGTTTGTGTTTGTGTTTGTGTTTGTGTTTGTGTTTGTGTTTGTGTTTGTGTTTGTGTTTGTGTTTGTGTTTGTGTTTGTGTTTGTGTTTGTGTTTGTGTTTGTGTTTGTGTTTGTGTTTGTGTTTGTGTTTGCGTTTGTGTTTGTGTTTGTGTTGTGTGTTTGTGTGTTTGTGTGTTTGTGTGTTTGTGTTTGTGTTTGTGTTTGTGTTTGTGTTTGTGTGTTTGTGTGTTTGTGTGTTTGTGTGTTTGTGTGTTTGTGTGTTTGTGTGTTTGTGTGTTTGTATGTTTGTGTGTTTGTGTGTTTGTGTGTTTGTGTTTTGTGTGTTTGTGTGTTTGTGTGTTTGTGTGTTTGTGTGTTTGTGTGTTTGTGTGTTTGTGTTTTTGTGTTTTTGTGTTTTTGTGTTTTTGTGTTTTTGTGGGTTTGTGGGTTTGTGGGTTTGTGTGTTTGTGTGTTTGTGTGTTTGTGTGTTTGTGTGTTTGTGTGTTTGTGTTTGTGTGTTTGTGTGTTTGTGTGTTTGTGTGTT